AAAAAAAAAATATGGGGAAGAAACCTGGGGCATATAATTTTCCTCTACTGTTTGCAAGTCTCTGATTGTTGCTACAGATCATCAGGCTTTCTGTTCTGTTCGGGGAACTCATTCTACCTGTCAGCAAATGTCCGAGCTGCAGAGCAGCTCCTCCATGGCATTTTCCCTGCTCTCTGCTCAAGTGGGACAGAAAATCTAGAAGCCTTTCACAGTCCCCCCAGTACTGTAACACGGGGTCACAGTTTTCTCCTTCCTTACTCCCTTAGCAGGGCCCCAGGACAGCAGGGTGGGAGAGCTGCACTGGGGAGAAACCTTTCCAGCGGGCTTAGTGCAGGCTGCCCAGTTACCCAGCATATGCAGACCTTTGTGCTTTTATTGACGTGCACGTACTTTAAATGAACATTACTTAATCTGCAGGTTCTTCAAGAGCAATCCTCTGTGATTGTTTGTCTTCCGAGCATTGGATCAATTACTCTGGTTTGCACGCGAGATGCCCGATGCTGCCTCTGGTCTGCGGTGGGAGCAGTGTGACTTCTCAGATCAGGTTTCCAGAGGATCACAGGAATAAATTCAGAATTTGTTTCTGCAAATAATCTCCAATGTCTGCTTGCAATTTACTGTTTCCACAAAAATTTTTGGCAGTGAACATGTTTGCTTGGATTCTCGCAATTGTTTTGGTAAGCATATTCTTTCCCTTGACAGGCCCCTCTTGGCAAATATTTCAAATTCCTGTCTTTCTCTTTTTACATTTTAGCTTTTCTCAGGATTTTTAGCTGCAGCTCTCTATTATTTCTAAGGGTGGCTCTGCTTGTTAGTACGTGATGCAGAATTCCTAGGGTTTATACAGTACTCCTCTTCCTTCAGGATATAGGAGTTTGTGGCTAACAGTAATGAGGGAAGGAGTCTAAAAAAACCTAGAGGGAAATAAGCAAAAGTCAGACTGCTTATAACTAAATGGGAAGCTAAATTTTTGTAGGAACTGAAATTCAAATTTTTTAAAATGGTTTTGTTGGAGGTTCTAAATCAGGGTTACAAAAAAATACACATTTTATTTCAATACTGAAATTTTGTAATATTAAAATTTGATAACATTGAAGTATTCATACGGCATGAACGTCTTAAGTTTTTCAAAATTAATGTCGAGCTCTTCAGTCCTTAGACCTTGGAGTCCCATCTACTCACCAGTTGTCTGCATGGAGCTAGTTGCCACCAAGAAGCTTTGGAAGTTCACTATTCATCCAGGGACCTAGCTGGGTAAATCAGGGCCACAGCTGATACCAAACTTGGTGGGCTTCCAGCTGTTTAATCTCTATATAAAGTGTCAGTGGCAAACTGTTTCATCCTAAAAGTTAAAATCAACTCTAGTCAAGAGTTTGGTGCAGAAGTTGTGATTAAGAAGTAGACAAGTAAGAGGGCTAACATACTGGAAGGAATAGAGCTAAGAAAATGAACCAGGCAAATATAGGCTGATACAGGTATGTGAAGAGATGGGGCTAAGAGTCAGGAAGTGGATGGGTAGGGAGGGAAGGATAACTGAAGGTCAGAAGGTAAGTCGCAGAGGGGCAGTGGTATGCATAGGAACAGGAACAAGTGATCACTTTTCTATAGATTGATATCTTGTGTGTCCATTGATTTCAGCCCCCCTTTGCTGCACAAGCATCTGGGGCTGAAAATAAGATCTAATCTATTGACATAACTTTTGGCAAAAGAAAAGGTAAATGAAATAATTTGAATTTTGCTGAGATATTAGCATGGTCTGGTTCAGATTTTTAGTTTCTAATCTTCCCTACATCGCCTTTAAATGGCTTGTGTGAGCATAAAGAAGGGGTTGATATGGAAATGCAGGGAAGAGATGAACAGGGATGGAAAGCTCTATTACTCTTTCAGTTTACTTCACTGAGAATAAAATAGAATAAAATAGGAGGGGACTGAAAACAAGATTTTACCACAGAGGAGCAGATTAAATGAAGAACATCAACTTGTTCTAGCTACTATTTTTCTTTTACATATAAAATGATGGTTAATATTTGTGATATAGTTCAGAGTGTAGTTAGGAGGCTCTTATAAAAAGACCTAAATATAATTATTTTTATATTAAAAATAAATTGGTAACTATAGAAGTATTTTCTAGTTCTTTTACTAGTTTTGTTGTGCAACTTTGAGCAAATCAGTGAAACAGCTAATGCCTCAGTTTCCCCTTCTTGATAGGGAAATAGTAAAATTAATCCTTTGGAATGCCATGTGACTTAAACGAGTATTTTTTTACAGTCATACTTTTTTTTAGACAGAAATACAATCTTATTTTAATAAATAGATCTTAGTTTTCCTTCAAAAATTTCTGTCCAAAACCTGTTTTAATTTTCTTAAGCATTTGAATTATAAACACTTGTTCTGCCTTTGATTCTTCAAGTGTGCAGATTGCTAAGAGCAGTAATTTCTTTTATCTGTTTGCTGAAGCGCATTGACTTGTTTCCACTTGCTCCTAGCTGGCTGGTGTTAGGACCCAGAAAAGAGACAGCAGCAACGTGATATAAATAGAGTACCAGAATGGGACAAAGTTTGAGAAGAAAGCATGACATCACTCAGACTTGCTCTCCACCCAAAAAGATCTGGGATGGAGGTGCAAATGTGAGCTGGACAAGCGAGGAGTTAGCAACTCTCTTCAGTTCAGTTTCTGAGGAAATAGAGAGAGTTATACGCCCTATGTGCTATAAGGAAGTACATTTTCTTGCTAGCAAAACCAAAACTGGCTTCAGATCTCTGACAACGTGAAAGTAATTGAAAGGAAAAGACAACCATAGGAAGAAAGTTGAAAACAAGATCTTTTCTTTTTGGCACAGCTTGTAACAGAAATATTTGACTTCTTTCCATGGAACAGTACAACTTTCGGATCTGATGCACATTTCTTTTAATTTTCCTCCAATCACGGTAATTTATTTATAGTTAAATGAGGAGATCAAAGTGTGAAGCAAGCAAATACTACTTAAAGGGTCTGGAAGGATATTTTACCATCGCTGAAGGAACAGACTTTTTGAACCTGCATGGAAAACGTCCTTTTGATACTTTTTGTATTAAAAGGAAAACTTATGATTGAAATCTTACAGGAATTTGATTTCAGTTGTACTTTTAAATAGACCATGGAGAATTTATTATCTCTACTCTGTTGTCATTATTCTTTGCTGATTTTATTTCAGTACAAATATCAGGTAATGTTCCAAATATGGTCAGTATTGAGATATATTTGGATTCCTCTTAGCAAGTTTTGCCTTACTATGTCTCATTATGTAATATTTTATGTGCAGGTGTATGGAAACTATTCCCAGCTACCCAAACACCCAGGTAAGGAATGTTCTATTTACATTTTTTGACAGTGTGCTTAAATATTTATTTGCTTTTTCAGTTTATATTTTTCATTTTCTTAGTAGCTCCAAAGAAACTGTGATGCTATGTTTGAATGTCAGCTCTGTATTAAAAATGTAATAAAGTCTAAAGTATCAGACTGTTCCAGTCCTTTCTAATTCAGTAACCTACCTACTAAATATTCTGCATAGAAATATATTTGGAGAAAATGGTTTGTATTTGGTATGCAGAAAAATCCTATATACACTGTTTGCTTATTAGTTTTTTTGAGCATGAGTTTCTGAATCAGACCTCTACACAGACTATTTTTTTTTCCCCTCAATGTCTTAGTGTTCAGCATTTTCAGTTCAATGATTTACAGTTTGATATGCCAACTTTTATACTTTGCATTACTTTGGCATGTCTTCAAGTCATCCACCCTCCTCCCAGCCTTCATGCTTAAGTTTAAATCAGCTATAGAGCATGTTAAGGATCTCTCATATGTTTTCAATGTAGAAAAAACTTACCCAAAGTTTATTTGGGGTCTGAGTGTGTCACTGCAGAATTCTTCTGTTTTATATAAATAGTTTAACCTCAAGCCTCATGGTGGTGTACAAGTACAATTTTACTGCTTTACCAATTCATGTATTGCTTTGTGCTTTTCAGTTTTAACCATATGCAATTAGTTTCAAAGTAAAATACAGAGTGATGTGGAAAAGCCATGTTGTCTGCTATTGCAGTAGCTTCAGCCTGACTAGATTTTTGTTGTTGTTGTTCAACCTTCACTCAAAAACAGAGAAATACACTCTCGTTTCCTATAGATGAGGATCACTGGCTTCTAGCTGATGGAACAATAGGAGGGAAAAAAAAGCCTCTAGCAATAAGAGGGCAAATTACACAACACTTATTTTGTAGTATATTGTGTGTGGGGAAGCATAACTGCGAGCGATGCTTTCTGGATTTGAACTAGGTTGTAAACAAGTCCTGTGATTTTGTTCTAAATGCAGAGTAGTGACCTATTGAAAGGATATTGCAGGTATAAGTTGAATTCAAGGCAAGAGGTATTTGCTTTCAGAGGTGGTCTTAGGGCTGCTTGGCTGGAAGGGGAGTAACAGTATGGCTTTATATAATTCAGAACTGGTTGCTGGGAAAGCCACTGGCATGCAGTGTGGCTCCAGGCAATTCACTTTGCCATATATCTATTTCCCTTCCCATTTTTTTTTCCTCATTTTTTTTTCTAGCTTTTAAATGTAAGGTCCTTTTAATATAGCTGCTTCTTATGAGTTTGATGCCAACCATGGCAATGCCTTTGTTGTGATGCTGCTACTACTACTGCTACTAAAATACTTGTGCCATGTTGTGACACAATTTTTTTGCCATAAAATAATTTTCTCCCGGGATTTTTCTTTTCTATTTTTCTCTCTTTTTTTTTTTTTTCCTACCAACTCTCAACATTAATCTTTGTTCCTTGATACAAAAGGGAGATGTTAATAGGAGCAAGAGATATTTGCATATAAGCACACTGTGAAACAGCAGGCATGTTCTGGGCTATGCAAAATGAAACTGGTAGTTTGAAAGTCGGATGGAGGTACATTAGCGTATGTGGATGCTCTTAATACTGTAGAAGTTTATAACTCTCATTTCTTTTTGCAGCAGCCAGAATATGTTCTTTGAAGATAGAATTAAGCACATACCCAGATTTAGTTTATGTAAATGCAAAAAATCTTGTTCTTCTATCCTGTTTCCTCAGTGTGCTTTGCCATGCTCAGCTTAGTTGAGTTTGGGTTGCCTGGAATTCTCAGATTGGGTTTTGTACATGCTTATTCTCTGTCATTATTCTCTTATGTTGGCAGTAGCTTGCTCCTTTTGTTAGCAGTTGTGCCTTTCTCTGTATCTTCCAAATATTCAAGGAAATGTATAGCCATAGAATCTAATCCATTTCTCTAAAGACATCCCCATCTTATCTATTTACATTCATACTCTCTTTCTGTGGGAAAACCTCTATGACAATGCCAACATTTCTAGTTAGGTAGGCCAATAATAGATCCTGGTCAATTTTGAATCATTTGTTAGATATCTTCGGTATAGTTGAGTTTGGAAGCAAGTCTGAGTAGTTCGTGTATCTTCACAAGGTGCAGAACTTCTTAGTTCTGTGCTCTCAGATCTACAACTGCTTGTTGTGATGTTTAGCAATTTTCTTCAACAGTGTGAAGCTGATAAAATCTTAGGATCCTCTCTGTGTTACAGCTCTGAAACTATACCGTGAGGACGGAGGACATCAAACTGATCCCCACTGTGTGGGCTAGGCAGTTTAAGGATGCAAATAAAATTTTTGCACCTTCATATCCATGATAAAGAAATCCTGTTTATATCCATGATGTTAAAATGATAGAATAATTGTCAAATTGGCAAGCTGTTTTAATCTGAAGAGTGAAGAAAGTTGTGGGATAGACTGTAAATGTCAAAGGACACTGCTTGTGATTTGTTTTAATTTGCATACTAAATGTGGGGAGCTTTTGTATGATGTATGACAGCTGAAGTGGTTTTTAAGAAACTTATCTCTCTTAGTTTTGTACCTCAGGTTCTTGAAAGATTGCCTGGGAATGAAAAATGATTGTAGGGCAAAGAACTACAGATATGGTGTAGTAGAAATACTTGCGCACTCTGTACTTGTTGCCGATTGTGTCATTTCCCCCCCTTCTTGCCCTCCCCCCCCCAAAGAAAAGATTAACTCAAACTAATAGGATGATATGCTATGATGGTGAACAACACACATTCGCATTTGCATTCACAGTAAAATTTCTGTATATCTGTATCAACCTTCTAAAACTTACTTAGATATAGGAGATTATAAATTTATTTCAGCAGAGCTGGTTAAATTAATTATTTTGAGAATAAAGGGTTTCTTCCAGCTAACAACATAATAAGAAATTACAAGTCATGTTTTCCTCCATTATTAATACTCTACCCTTAAAATAGAATTGTTATCTGAACACAAAATTTGACCATTTCTGGTCAGGTTTGAGTAGTCACATCTAAAATCTGTTCAAATTCATCAATTAAACAGTGCAGATAAATCTGCCAATGGAAACCAGCGGATGTTTTGTTTTTGTCAGCTTCTCCACCTGTTGCTAAGGAGGACAAGAAAACAAAATGTTCTTGTCAGCCACAAGGAGTTGTTGTGGTTTTGGTGTAGTGGAGAAGGTTCTGAAGGAATAGCTAATGTCGTGAGGGGAGGAGTGAACTCTTTTCTATATGTTGCTTAATATTCTGGAACTCCTTCTCTTGAGGAACATCAAATTCTTTCTGTTTAAGTTCTGCTATATGACTCTGTCAAGGTGAGAGTTACCTGGAGACATCAGGAAGGCTAGACTGCAGTAACAACTGTGCCGGCACCTGTACTCTCACCCATGTTGCAGCTGCTCCTCCATTGAGTACTGCTTACAATGTCTGACTAGTGTCTTTCCACAGAAGACCAAAGGTGAAAAAATGCTTGGATTAATATAACCTGAAGGTGTTGCACTGGTTTTCTACTGAGTTTTGGAGAAGAGGGTAAATTGCAGGGAACTCTCTAGCATCTTCTCCTACTCCCTTGAGCTGCCAAGAGGAGACAGGAGCAGAGGTAGTACGCTATAGAGGCTAAATATTTCCCTTGTGAATTCCCTTCTCAGTGCTTTGCACTATCCACTGTGTGTTTAAAATCTTGAAATTAGTCTTGAATGACTCCTCAACTCTTACTTCAACGAATGCTGCCTCATACGTTAGCAGAGATTTAGTCAGAGATTGTTGCACATTTTAAGTGCAATTAAAATAAAAATCAGTTGAGTTTGACCACTGCAGAAAACCTATTTTTCAATCAGATATATAGCTTTAATCTACTCTTCTATTTTGATTTACGATCTCATTTATGTGCCATACTTGATTTACATAAAATATCTTGTTTCACTTAACCTATTGACCTCCTTTATTGTTCTCTTCTTGTTACACTCCTTGTTGGTCCTTACTTTAATAACCTTTTCATTTGTGTTTCTTGAAAGGATTCAAAGTTCTCGCATCAGCTTCCCATTACTGGCCATTGGAAGATGTGGATGGAATTCATGAGTTTCGGGATACGAATGGAGGTAGACAAAGGATTTGTTGATAATGGCAATAACATAAGTATTTGTGGCGATCTGTAAGTAGAAAGGGAACAGGAGAAATGGAAAAGGTTAGCTTTTGTACCACAGCAGCTGAAATATTTTTTTCAGTTAATGTTTTTGCAGTGCTCCGATATCCAAATAGTATTGTATTTGTGAACTGATTTTTATAGAGTATTCTCAGACATTTTATGGACTGTCTACGCACTGTTAAGGTTATAAAGAGAAAAGGTTTATGATCCAAGGAGTCATTGAAACAACATTGTTATTAGCTGGTTTGGTATATGCATAACAAACTAATACATTCAGTGACTGAGATCTTTGGCTGCACCAGCAGTGAAGATGCCTGCTTCTTTTTGCTTTTTGGAAGGAGTTAAATGCCCAAATTTTTCAGGCACTTTTCAGAATTGCACATAGTATCCATAGAAAGAGAAGTGTAAGCTCTTATCTGATTACTTCTTACTAATTTTTATCAGCTTTTGGATATTTCCTTAAGTGGTATTGCAGCATAAGTTCAAAATTTTTTTCCAATCAGGCAAAACCAAGAGAGGTTTGATAAGACAAAACTCTCACTGATTTGAAAAAGTCAGGTGTCAGGACTGCAGGATCCCAGAGAGAGCAATATTAAAAGGCAGTCTGGTTGGATTCAGCATTTTTCTGGTTCTGATGTCTCCTATCAGGAACAAAAAGGGTAATGAGGGCTTCCTGAGCATGTGCTGACAATGCAATTAACGGAGCTTTGACCAAACCACTGTATCCCATTGCAGCATCATGTGTGTGCACAGCCATTCCTCTCATGAAATTTTCAGCTCTGCTCTGCCACCTCCTGAGACTCAAAGGTCCCTTAGCAATTTTCACATGAACTATTTTTTCTCTTCTGATATTTGAGACAATTCCAAGTTGGGTGATGTATATTCCCCAGTCTTTCTCACACTATGGCTGATGACCTTGGCAGTTGAGCTAAACTGTTTTGTACTAGTGCAAGGGGGTAGCTGCTGTGTTACTACTGGTGACTGTAATATCTTTACCTAGAAAGATCATTGCAGAAGATTAAATCAGCAGTTAAAGACCTTTACAACCTTACATGAAAAATGTTACAAAAGTGCAAAGTTATTGCTATTTATTACACAAAAATGGCAACATCAATCTCTATTCCTAAGTGGGAAAAAGATCCATAAATATCTAAAACCTTTTATTCTGGAGGTGTTAAAGTATTTTAGCTTAAACTTTGACCCATCTTTCCACAAATTTTCTTAAAGAAATGAAATTGGCTGACCAGAAATAATAATGGCAATATTCTGCTCTCATTAGAGGCTGATGGCAGCATTCCCACAGACTTCAATAGAATCATAATTTGACTTACAAAAAGTTTAACATATGAGGTCTCTAACACTGTGTTAAAGTAAGTTTCTGACACTGGACTTCACGTAGTTTCAAGAAGAGTAAAGCACTTGATATCTATCATTTTTTTTGGCAGTTGTTACAAAGATGTTGTTTTGAAAGTGCTTGAAAGAAATATATAAAATATAGCTCTTGAAAAAATGACAATTGATGTTGGATTTTTTTTTTCCAAATTATGTTAGATTACATTGATTCAGCAAAGTTCAGAAATCTCTGCAGTTATATCTTGGAAGAGATAAAGCAGAATATATAAAGTTCCTGATCCCACAAACCTTCATTTACAGGAATAGGACTGGCTCACATGAGCAATCTCCTTTGACTCCTATTAGGACATTGTGTTAAATAACTTTATAAACGAGCCAGCTGCATGACTTTGCTGAAAAAAGTTTGGAGGACTTTGTCTCACTATTATTTGCAGAGGATGCCAGTAGCCAAAAGTGTCTTTCTGCAGTGCAATTCTGACAATGTTGAATTCTTTCCTTAATGTTGTAGTGGACAGTTGAAATTCTTCTCAGTCGCTTATATTTAGTGTCTTATAATACACAGATAATATTTCAACTGCCTCCAGCAGAAGTTTTATGTATCTATCTGATATTCGACTTTGATACACAAAAAGCCCTTTTCTTTATTGTTATAATCTAATGCAGGTGGCAATTTGCTTGTTTTTGATACCACTCTGATTACACAACTCTTCTGTTTATTGCTAGTCTTTCTTGTTTTTCCACTCATCATATCATGCCATTATTTTCATTCCATGTTTCTCCTCTTAAATCCTTGAAGCATCATAATCTGTCCATCATGTTAATCCATTTTATTTGTTGAAGTCACTGTGTGTGAAGCCAGATTTATATCTCTCAATGCGTTTGTGTTGTGAGAGAGTCAGCAAATTAATTTTTTTGTTATCTCAGCAGTAGAAACAATTGAAGGGAAACAATCAACTTAATATATTAAATCAAAAAAGATGTGGCTGTGCTGAGGTTTTTCATCTGACCCTTTGTTTTCTGTACGTTTTTCTCTTGAGATTCTTGTGTGCGTTCTCTTTTTTTAAGAGCATTTGCCTTTCCCTTCTGTGAGCTCCGTGGGTCTAAATCCCAAATCGATGTGTGTCTATTTACTTTCATGGGCTTTCCATCAAGCTCCATTTGCCTGCCCAAGGTAAATAATTAGTGGGCAAGATACTTGTAAATTATCAAAATAAGGGGAAAAAAAGAAAGAGAATAAAACTTTAGTGTCAGATATAAGAGTTGAGCTTTTTTCTTACATTTAGATGGAATTTCTTGTATTTTAATTTGTGTCAGTTGCCTCTTGTCTGTTCACTGGATACAGCTGAGGAGAGTCTGGTGCTATCTTTACACCTCCTGTGGGGTGTTAATATATTGATAAGATCCCTGAGCCCCTTGTACTCCTTCTGCTGCACTTGCTCTCTTGTACTAGGGAGCCCAGAACTGGACACGGGACTGGAATTGCCCATAGCTCTTTCACCAGTATAATGATTTTTGTTATAATTGCAGAGCTCCTTACCAGCGTGACTATATTTCAGAGCCCTTCATCTGCAGTTGTATTTTTTATAATTTTTTCTCCTCAATTTACAGTAAGGAAAAAAATCATTTTAGTGATACTGTATATACTTATGTAGTTCAAGAATTCAATGTTCACATGCACACAAGTCCTTGGAGAAGTGGTTGTATGGTCATTTTAAAGGCCACTGACCAACATCCATGACTTGTATTATGTTGAGAGATATGAACTGGTCAATTCATTACTGATTGTGTTTATTCATTGTTTTGCTTATTTTCTTATTTTCTTTTGTTGTTCCACCCAGCTCTAAGAATCCACAACTTCACTGTGCTTCCTTCCCATAACTCTACCTTTGTATATACCAATGATTCTGCCTACTCTAACTTCTCTGCAACTGTAGGTGAGGATTTTACATATTTTTTGTTCTGCTTTTGTCAAGCTTGGATGGTTCTTGTAACGTTGGATTCAAAGTTAACACTGAGTTTTGGGTCAAGTGGTAAAGGTCTATTTATGCTTACATTGGCATCCATTATTGAAAAAGTACTCCTGCAATGTTACCTGAGAGGCGTCTCCCCATGCTAAGCAGCTCATGGGAGGATGGGCCCCAGCAGTCCTCCAAAACCTAAAATATTTGTATTAAACTTAAAATAAACAGAGATGACACTTCAGAGGAACATATAAGAACAGATAAGTTGATTTCCCCCACCCCCATCTTTCAAGGTTAAGAGGAAAAAGAAACCATCTGTTTTTCACCATTTCATAGTAATTTTTAAAGGACATGTTAAGAAAGACAAATGCAAGTAAATTTGAAAAGTCTGGAAGTTAGATCTTGTTAATAACGACATTTTTGATTAACATGTTTGTGGATTTGTCTTTTTTTTTTTTTTAAAGTAAGTAAAATCTGCATATGTATGTCTTTTTAATGAGATTATATATATATATTATACACACACACATATATATATTTTATTTTTTACATCAACACACCAGGAGATAAAAGGAAGAATGGAAAATGGCAAGTCTCCAGTCAGAGACCTGACAGATTGGAAACTAGTTACATCTATACCAATATAAGCTTAAAGTCATTTAATTTAAGTCACTAAGATTTATACTTGTGTAGGTGCAATTGAAATATGACCTCTTTTCCACTTTACAATTGGGTATTAACTCACATTTAGTTGTTCAAAAATCTGACCTAAGGAGAGGGATGGAAATGATTGAACTGTCATTTGGGCTGCTCAGATACTAGGAGGTTTATATTAGAATACTAAGTGCATTATTTTTCTACTCTCTAACAGTAAAAGTATGCTGGCAGATGTGAACTCTATTAATAATGAACTTCAAATGACCCTAATTCCTTGCAGTCCTCACTTATCTGCTTTATAGACTATTTGCATGGTTCTCACATAATAAGATATATTAAATACCAACGTTAAAAAAAAGTGACATCAATGGCAAAAGAAATGCTATGGAAACAGGAATGCATTACTTTACGGGATTTATTCTGGTTAGATTAACTTAGAATTCAAGTGACTCAAGAAGAACTTAGAAATGTTTGCTTCACTCCATAATACACACTCAAATTTTTAAAAGAAACTAAATTTTATCCGTCAATTAGAGACAGAACTTGATGACTTCTTACTCAAAGGGAGGGAAGATACGTGAAAACTGTGATATTTGTTTAGAGATTTGGAATGAACTAAGAAAATATTTGGACATACATTCACTGAGGGCTACATCGTGCTGTTGCTGTTTCCTTGAGTGGTGTTATCTTCCAGATGGGCCAGCACTATGACTCCTGTCCTCATACCTGATGGTTGTCTACAGTTTGAAAATGAGATGCCCCATTGCATAAAGGGATGCACAATCCTGAAGCAGTGACTACAGTATTTGTGATTATCCATCTAGATAAATGATCTGTCCCTAGCACTGAACGTGCATCTCTGGCATGACTTGTGCTGTATTCTGCTGTGCAAAAGGCTTCTGTTAGGTCAGGTAGATGTACAGTGATAAATACAGAGAGAAGTCCTTTGTGTCCCACCCTTCACATGTTTTAGACCATTTGTGTGCCTTCCTCATTTCCCTTATCTCATTAGATTTGCAAATATTGGTCAGCACTTAGTTGGCAATTTCTGCACCTGAGAGCAGGAAAAGACTGTATTCTCATTGCTTGTGTTTCCCTTGGAGCAACACTTCTCCTAACACTTTTTCAGAAGAAATTATAGAGAAGGGTCTTAAAACCAAGATCCTGAATATTCACTTGGTCTTAAAACCAAGATCCTGAATATTCAATCCTTGCAGAAATGTTGTCACAAACAATGGTATTAACATGAAATTCCAAATTGAATATTTACATTCTGTCTGCTCAGAAATAGATGCTAGAATGTTCTGTGTTCTTTTGGTTTTTGATTGTGATTTCCTATTGTCTTCATTGCTAAAATTAGTCCTTCCTTTTATCTTGGGACAAAAGAAATTAATTTCCCATCATCATCTATCAGCTGGACTCTCAGAGCTTAGTGAGGTTTTCTATAGTAAACAACTGCCATAGTTTTTTTTCATATTAAGAAAGCTCATGTGCTAGTAGGAGATAAATCAACAGTGCTTTTTAGTAGTGAACACAAGAAAATCACAATCAAATCACAAGACAATTAGTCATTACCCATGTTAGACAAAGAAATAGTTTTACAAATGATAATGATGCCATACCAAAGGATATCTGAAAAGGATATGTATTTCTGCCCTTTGAATATAGCTTGTCAAGTATATTTCATTGAATTATTTTTTTCTAATAAAAAGTGGCTTTTGATCAGAAAATTTCCCTTTCAGAAAAATGAAAAGAACCCAATTCTGTTATAAGTTTGATAGATTAAAGAATTTCTTCACAAAGGCAGCCTAACAGTAAGATAGAAATACCTCTATGATCTGTCTGGTATTCAGAACTCTGGAAAGCATAGGGTTTATTCAGATTACTTTAAATAATAATTTCTGGGTATAGGGGTTCTGTCAAGCAGTCTTAGTTAATCAAGAATATGAGTGACAAATACGAGTATAACTTCTACAAATTTGAAATGAAAGAGTTATCTGTATGGTTCTTTTTAAAAAAAAAAAAAACAAACCACTGACAAATCCCCACCAAACTCAAGCAAGAACCAAAAAGAAAGCCAACAACAAAAACCCAAGAAAAGCAAACCTATAGTTGGGACAAGATAAACATATGAGGTGTATGACTCTGTTAAAATCATGTTTCTAGAAAGTTTTGATTTATATAAATGTTAAACTATTTTTTTTGTTTTCCTCTAGATATTGTAGAAGGAATGGTGAACAAGGGAATTTACGTCACTGAAAAGAAAGGAGTCACCTTTCTCTTCTTTGGAAGCTATCAAAATTCTTGCATTAGTAATCCAGAAGTTTGTGGACCTGAAGGTTAGTAAATTCATTAATTGCTATTTGCTTTTTTGCTATGAAATTATGTAATTCAATAATCATTGTTTCTTTTCTCATTGGAATAAACTCTAAAATTGCAGCTTGACACTTTTTTATTTATTTTTAAAACAATTGAGTGTTGATTGCTGAAAATTTAGATTAGATCTAATCACCAACTACTCAGATCAATGATCTACAGTATAATTAATTTAAACAAATACAGAAATAAGCTTACAGTGCCCAAAATGTTGCCTGTGGCACCAAGATTAATTCCTTCGAGAAATGCAGTTTCACAAACAAAGTTGTCCTACAAGTTTCAAATTTAGGAGACAGTTTTTTCCGTGTGGCCTCTTAGCAGGGATGGTGGGGGTTTTTAGATTTATCTTTGGAGATGATGAAGTTTTTAAGTCTCTGGTGTCTTGGAATCCATTTGTCCTTGTAGGTGCTTAAATATCTTCATTCTGTTTCTCTTCCCTTTCTTCTTCTAGCGCTAGGGTCACAAAATGACAGGTCGAATAGGAGGCACAGGCTTAACATTATGTTGATTACAGGAGATGATTAAAACTATATACTGTCAAACCAAATGTACAACTAGTCACTAGCATAGAACATGGACTAGAGATTTAAAATTCAGTAGAAATGGAAGGATCAGTGGAAAATAGGGACTTTATATACACAAACTCCAGCAGTCCTTAAGCTTAAGCAGTATTATTAACATTGAATTTTCTTGCTTTTATTGATTTAGGCCATTCTTCAAAAGGGTAACATTACTCAAAATCAGGGTTGGGGGTTTTTTTTGAGCTGCTATAGCAAGTACTGTGTATTAATTTTCCAAGAAAGTCAGAGAAACTCAGAGAGCAGATGGTATGTGGCTATTACCTGAGAATATTAGAAAAAGTAATTCAGTATCCTATTATAGGCACACTTTCTGTTACATGCTGTATCTTTTCATGCTTTTTTTTCATACCGCTGGGAAATAAAAATCATCACTAAGTCATATTATTTCTACATCTATAGTATAACATAATAATCAGAATAAATTATTTTTATAGTACTGGAGCACTCCCAGTATCTCACAAACAAGAACATTAAAAACATAAAACACTGAAATGTTGAGTAGATAAAATGTGAAAAGAAGAAACTGGCATTTTCGGTCAAAAGAAACATTTGTGAAAGATGCAAGGGAATATTCTCCTAATCATTAGTTTGAATGCAGTAGAAGTTGGATTTAGTCAACACAGGCGAAGATGAAATTAAAAAAAAGATTAAAAAAGCAGCCCTATGCACAACATAGCATTTCATAAAGCTGTGTGTTTGTTGCGTGCCTGCTTTAATTTTTACTTTTAGTTTCAGCATTTCATGAACTGAAGTGTGCATAAGGAGAGTTTAGATCCACAGTTTTCTTGTGGCTACAGGATGATCAGCAGCTGCAGAGTAGTCCAATAGGATAGACAGTCAAAGATGGGGGAAACTGGCTCCACTGCAGACACGCGGTATAAAAGTCTGTCTAAGTCATGTTAACTTCATCTCTCAGCCTGTAAAGAAGGAATAACAGCACTTCCATACCTTTCAGAAGTGTGGTGAAGCACTGGAAAAAGATTGTGAGACACTGACAAAGGAATCGCAGTAGTAGCAGTACTAGATTAACACAGTTAACCTTGGTGGCCCTTTCAACCAGGGTGGTGAAGGATGGTGTGCAGATACAAGGGAAATGCGTGGTTTTTTGGGAAGAGGGCTGGATCAGTGTTTCAACCTGTTACTGGTGTGAAAAGCAGCTGAAATAGGAACTCAGGATTATCTGCTGATGAAGGTAGTGCAACTTGCTTAAAACAGACCTCAAATTCTTCAGTTGGGAGTTCACAGTGTTTATAGTTTTAAACACGTAGCCATTAAGAACTAGGAAACTGAGATTGATGATGTTCATACACTGATTGATTTCTAGGAGGCCAATGATAATTGATTAATGCTTCCATGGTGATTATTTTATCATGTATAAAGCATTTAGGGAATGGTGTGTAGATCATGTAAATTGACGGGTGCTGTCATGTGGACAAACAGAAATATCAGTTAGGCAGGGAGTTACTACATAGTTAAATTATTTATTGTGCCATAATATAATTTCAAGCTTTTCTGTTAAGTTAATGTGACAAAAAGTATATGTGAAATATAAAAAAATTATGTTCCGGAGAATAGTGGGGAGGAATATTTCTGATGACTGAAGTGAGCTTTCTGAGGCTTTTCCATCTTTAATCATACAATTATGAAACATATAAGAAAATACTATGATTTTAACAAGAAATATACATAATAGTTTGAGGGCTTCATTAACTTGTGCTGGGCTATCTGGTAGCAAATTGTCAAAGTTCATACTGTTTGCATGGCCTGAAGAACTGCTGATTGTAAAATCATCCAGACAGATATTTTGACTACATGTCAACAGAGTATAGCCAGCACGTTAAGGGAAGTGATTATTGCCCTCTGCTCAGGGCTCATGAGCATATCTGAAGTTCTATGTCTCATTTTTCTCCCCTGATACAAGACAGACGCTGACAAGCCAGAGTGAGTCCAGCAGATGACTTAAGGGGCTGGACAGTATGACATGGGAGGGAAGGCTCAGGTTTTGCCTTAAACCATCAAGAAAAGAGCATGCTAAGGGCTGTCTTCAACTGCCTGATGGGTGCTTATAGAAGCAGATAGAGCTTAACAATCTTGGACATGCACAATGAACATGTGACTGGCAATGCAGGCACCTTGTAGAATAGGAAATGCTGATTACATCTAAAGAAAGAAGTTTCTTTGCCATGTAGGTGGCCAAGCATCAGGATGGCTTGTGCAGAGAGGCTGTGCAGTTTGCATCCGTCATAACATTAAAATCTCAGCTGAGCAACCAGATATAGCTCTGAAATAGGCCCCACTTTGAGCAGCCAGTTTAGAATAGGTGACCTTCAGGGTCATAGCCAACTTAATTCATTAGGATTCTTTGTGGCTAAAACCTCTTCCACTTCTGTACTTCATAAACTTTTCCTCAACCTGCTCTGAACTCAGATTTTATTGCTATCACTTTGTACTATAAATTCTGAGGTGAACATTTTTAGGAGCTGTTTAGTCGAGCCAGTTTCTTTGTAATTGCATTTGACTGCAGAACCTCTACAGCAGAACCACTGTGAACTTCTGAAGTGTGAGGGAGGTTTGACTTGCTGCTTGTGTTTCAGTCAAGCCTTTTGAGGTAACCTTTATTAAAGAAACAAGCCTTCTTGCAGAAACCGTATTTCTTCACTAATGTGCAATCTGAAGAGCTCTTCAATTCTACAATGTCCTGGTTTCAGCTGTGATAGAGTTAATTTTCTTCCTAGTAGCAGGTATAGTGCTGAGTTTTGGATTTAGGATGAGAATATTGTTGATAACACACCAGTATTTTGGTTGTTGCTAGGCAATGTTTACACCAAGTCAAGGACTTTTCAGTTTCTCACACTGCCCTGCCAGCGAGGAGGCTGGGAATGCACAAGGAGCTGGGAGGGAACACAGCCAGGACAGCTGACCCCAACTGGCCTACGGGATGTTCCATACCATGTGATGTCATGCTCTGTATACAACTTAGGGGAAGCTGGTCAGGGGTTTAGATCATGGCTTGGGAACTAGCTGGGCATTGGTGGTCTGTGAGTGGTGAGCAATTGTGCTGTGCATCACTTGTTTTACATATTCTATTATTATTATTTTCCTTTTTTGTTATATTCAACTGTCTTTATCTCAACCCTGCATATGTTTCTATCCCTTTCTTTTACACTGGTTCTTTGCTTTCAGCAATTGCTGGGGCACTGAAGTGTGAAAACACAGGTAATAACACCCTTAGAAGAATTGAAGTGTAATTAGCAATGGGTGCTACTCAATAAGCATGGGCATGCTGGCAGCCAGTTAGCACATCAGTAGCTTGGAAGCAGTCAATGTACTATTTCTGGCTGTGTTGGCATTTGGTCAGCATCAAAAAAAAGATGTAGATTCTGGTGGAGCATATGGAGATATGAGAGCAACTTGTGCTTTGAAATAAGCAAAGATCACAGGAGGAAAAGGGATCATCACAGGAAGGTGAGAAGGGTAAGGAGACTGGAGAGTAAGGCAAAGGGAATGGAAGCATAAATCTAAGAAAAAGACTTCATTACTTTCTGTGCTCAAAGAACTGTAGTTTTAAGTGATACTCAGGAAGCAATGATCACTACTATGTCCTGGGTATGTGCATGTGATGTGAAACCTAGGAAAAGATATTTATTTGGTTTAAACTGTTAGAGCTTTGTTGATTTTAAAAATGCTGTTCTTGTTTATGCTAGCAGATGATCTGTCCTCAAAAGCATTCCCATTCTCTGTATTGTACAGTATTGGAAACTTTTAATTGCACTTGTGTGGGGTTTTTTTGTTTTGTTTGTTTGTTTTGTTTTTGTTTGTTTGTTTTTTTAAGTAAAATCTCCTCTCACTTACTTTCATCAGGAGTAACATTTTCCTTTTTCTGGAAGACTCAAGATCAGCAGGCTAAGTTTCTTCCTGCCTCTGGTGGACAAGTAATTTCCAGTGGTTTCAAAATCTGTTCAAATGAAGGTGAAGGCTCAGTGGAATTTTACACCCGTGGGAATGCAATGATGAAGTGGAAAGCAAGCTTTAGTCCGCCAGGTAAAGTTTATAATTTTTTTTATTAATTTCTTTGTTATGTTTTACTTTATTCTTGCAGAGAGCTGTAGTGGTAAGAGCACAGCTTCAGGAAAGAGAAGTGGGTATATGAAAATAGCTACAAAGCTCTGTGGTCAAGGATTTGCTTGATGAGGGGAGAGAGAGAAAATACAAAGTGAAAAAACAGTGATATTGTGTTATGGAACATTTGCCATTCACTAACAACACTCAGACCCAACTTCCAGTTGTTTCTGAAGTGGAATTCTTACTGATATCAATAGATGAAGGAGTGCTTAGATGGAAACATGAGTGAAGAATGCAGGTTAATCCGTGACAGTTCTCAGTATGATCTAAAACGGAATACATGTACTGTCCTCTAAACTAAGACTCTATTTAGTAACTATCTAACTGGGTGTTTAGTGCTTTTGTCATTTTGTTATCCGAGTGTCAAGTTTTGTATACCATGGCATAGTTTTAATAAACATTTTGGTATATCACATATCTTACTGCTTCTATCTAAACTGTGTATTGTTGGGGGACCGGTATTACCTAGTGACTGGAACAAATTCTGGTCTTCTAGTAATGCCAATGACAGTCACTAAATCTTTTCTTGCCTTAATTTGACTTACCTGTACATTGGTAAAATAGAACTTTCTCACCTCACAGTAACGGAGCTTTATAAAGCTTAAGAAATCTGTTTAGAAATCTTATTTTAAGAGAAAAGCCGCTAAATGGTGAGAATAATTCACACATTTGTGGATTATCCAATCCAAGTGAAAATTAATATTATGTTTCCAGTCTCTCAAGTACAACAAAGAAACTGTGGCAACTTTTAATTAGTCTATTTGCTTGTTCTCCAGTCCTTGCAGTCTTTATGCAGTTCTTGCTGAACTGAGTTTGGAGACAGTATTGAAGAGAATTCAAATCTTGGCCAATACTACTTAGCAAGTGTAATTTATGAAACTGCAGTGGGCCCAAGTAAGAGTTCAGACAAAAGCTAACAGGCATTCTGCCAGAGTATGGGCTTCCCCATGGGTATAGAGATTAGTATACATGACATCAGCATTCCATAATTCACTCTTAGCACTTCCTATACAGCTCTGTAGCATTGCACAAGTCAGCAAAAACTTACTGAACAGGAAAGACTCTGAATAGAATTGATTCATGGATTTTGCTGTGACTTTTAATGTTTTGCAGGTCCTTATTGGACTCATATTCTCTTTACTTGGAAATCAAGAGAAGGACTGAAAGTCTATGTCAATGGAACTCTAAATACAACTGATCCAGATGGGAAAGTCTTCTATGATTACGGAGACCCCAGTGCAAATCTACTGACTGGGACAGAGGGGGATCAAACTAAGCGCTATGTGAATGGGGCATTTGATGAATTCATTATATGGGAAAGGGCACTCACCCCCCATGAAATCGAGCAGTACTTTACAGCTGCTGTTGGTGAGTATCTGCACTGTTGTCATAATTCATCTGTAAAGATGCTGACTTAAAAATGTTTAGTGTGTAGGATTTGTGTTTATTTTACACATTTCAGCTATTGAATGTAATTTTTAGAGACAGAAAAAGTCAGGTATGAATGTCACCAAAATGTGTAGGTGTCTTTGGATGTACAGTCTTTTCATCCTCGCTTCTAGCTTCTTTAAAATGTCATTAAAAAATTACCAAGACCTGAAGTATCCAGCCATTGTTAGATCCCCTAGGATCAAGAGAAGAGGAGTAATAATTAGACTTGAGGCAGAACAGTATTAGAAAAGACTGTGGATTTCTAACGTGCACTCTGGTTGTTGTGTAACTTAGAGCCAAGTCACTCAGTGTATTCCAGCATATGTGGATAATAATGGTTTTCTCTCCAGTTCCTGGAATGATAAAGACTTACTAACTCATGTATGCTTGTCAACTAAAAAGAAAGCTATCAGCTGAAATGTAATATAAAAGGCAAAGAATCAGGATTAGAACAGAGACTTAGAAGACAGTTAGTCTATGGATCTTTATAATAATTTTTGCTACAAGAAAGGCTGTTGCTATTAAGTGTTTGTGTGAGAGCAGCAATTAGAAAACATCCATCTCGGGAATAAAGCTATGGGGCATCTGGAACGTTTGGCTTCACTGGCAGTTTTGCTGCTTTCATTTATTCTTACGAGGTTACTGAGAGCTAAAGCAGTTACACCCATAACTCTTGTGCTTTTAAACCCATGGGAAATATTTTCACAATGGAAACTCTTTGAATAACATAGAACATCTGATGCATGCCTGGAAATGAGAATGTATGTGTGTTTCACATCCAGGTTTGATTATAGCAATCAAGTATATAAAAAATATATTTTATAAACAAGAAAATATAAACTAGTTTTGTAGAATTCTAGAATTGAAGTCACTTAAAAATGCTCCATCTGGTATATAATCAAGCAATCTGTTTGCTTTGCCACACAAATAATGCCAACTGAGAGCAAGTTTTTTATTTTAAAACTTTTTTATTTTAAAAAGTGATTTCTATGAAAACCTTCACAAATTCTGATTGGGTGGGGGAGTATTCATTTGATACAGGAAATAGTTTTAAAATCATCTGTATTTGGCTGTTTTATTTCTCACAACAATCTAGGGTTGCTATAACACTATCCAACTCAAAGCTACCATAAATCACATTCTTTGATTTAGTGTAACTCAAGAAGAATGTTATGTTGCTAAACTGAAGAGCAGTAGATTTTCAAATTGACCTGATCCATCTATATGGGTGCCCTGTTTCACTGTCAGAGAGGTATGAGAACACCGTTTTTTTTTTAACCCCTTGAATTCTTGTGAACTCACAGCAACCATCCTTTGCAGCCCTGCACCCTCCCATCTGTCACCCTAACAAACAATCAAGGCATCATGGAAAACTCTTTCCATGAATGTAAATCCTGTTCAGGACTTCAGTTTCTACTACTTTCCTCTATACTTCGGTTTGGAAAGAGCTTTACTGAGGCTTAGAATATCTGGTTACTGGACATAAATGCTTGTAGCAAGCTTTTGAAACACTGCTGGAAGAGTTGGTGCCTCGGACCCTGCTAAAGTCTAAATTTTTAATGAGTTGTACAGAATTTTGCCTGTGTCCTACCTTTCAATCCCTGCTGATTTTTAGAAGGCTGTATAGGAAACTCCTTGATTTATACATTGAGATGTTAATGCTGGAGCTTTTATGAGTTTACTGCAATTTGCATGACATCAGGTGTTTGTTTTTGTGGTTGTTTGTTTGGTTTTTTTTCCTTAAACCTCTAGTTCACAGGTCTTCAGGGTCATCAGGAACTATCAATTTTCTGTGAAAAATAAATTTCTAGCCTCTTAATTGAAAGTAAAGCTTGATGTGTATTTTCTAGGGGCTTAGGAATTAAAATGTAAAGTGATACCAGGTATATATATTTGTTTTGATGTGTGAAGAATTTCAAGGCAATATTATTTTAAAGTGTCCAGGTGATTTGGAGCACTTGAGTAATGTAGAGTATTGAATTTTCTGCTTTTTTCTTTCAAAGTAGTGGACTAATCAGAATTGATAAAATTTCCAGTTTGATGGATGAAATCAGAACATTCTCAGAGGGAGCAATGGATATTACAATACTAATCAACATAGTAAAAAAAAAAAAAAAAGTTATTCTTGGTACCTGTTTATTGACCTTGGAGAACTTAAAGCAGGGTTGAAGCTGGGCTAATGTGGTTTGACATAAGAAATTTAATAGGACATCCTGTTTTTTAATAGAATGATTATATTCCTTTTGGATCCATGAGTAAAATGTGTCCTATATATGCAACTACTGTTTGATTGTACTGAAATACCACACTCCTGGCAAATATAAAATCTTGCTAAGATGTAGATGAGAAGAAAATTTCATTCCTCTATCACAAATGACCAATAAATCCCTTTGCACAGAAAGGAATCAATATTTTTTGAAATGGAGCAACTGGAAACCATCCAAAATCAAGTTTATTCTTTCTGTCTTGACAAATCATTTATGACATGCTTGTGTGGTAATTTTCAATGGATATAGTGCTAGTAGGTGACATTTATTAGTAAAGCCTGCGTGATTAATAACCTCACTGCTGCTTGAAATCAACTTAAAAACACCTGATAGAGATGTTATCTACAGTATGCTTAAACTGCTAATGAAGGCTATGTTTTGACTCCTTGAGCCCTGTTTGTTTTAGGCAAAACTAACATGCCCCAAAAGCTCTAGCATACTATTTCTGCCAATGTCCTTTTACTTAAGGGTGATGCCTTAGTTTTGCTGCAAGCAATGAAAGTATTTCCATTTGCTTTGAATATTTCTTGCACATTTTTTAATGTGGAAAAGTCTTTCTGAACTTGTCTTCATGGGTGTGATTTTATTTGGCACTCAGGCAATTTAGACTTAAGATATAAGTAAACGTTAACATTTGGAGATCATAGCTGAGATATGAGTCTCATTTTTTCCAGTGTCTTTATGATCCCAGTCCAAGTTTATCACATATACAGAAATACAGCAAGGTTGTACATGACATTGTCAGAAGAGCCTACAGATTTTTATTTCTGACTAAGACATAATTTTTTTTTTTTAATTTTCCATAAATACTTTGCATAAATGTTGGGGGAAGACCTAGAGAAGGAAGATGGATGGCAATGTTTTAATTGTACAGTTGTACTTTTTTTATTGAGCTATAACACTTGAAATTTCCTGTTTGCAAACAAAGGTTTAATTAAAGTGCTTAAGACTTAGACTTAATTGCAAAGCTTATATAGATAAAGATGACAAAATAAAACTGATGAGAGAATCAGGAAATGAAGTGCTTTAAACAAGCCTGTGTAGCTACAGTACTACAAATAAATAAAATGCACATAACAGCAAATATGTTACTTTCAGTTAGAACTGATTCAATCTGCTGTGGGAATATCAGGTTTACTAACAGTCTCATTCATGTATGTATTTTCCTCAGGTGTGCAAGTTTTGCTTTCTTCAACGCTTCCATGGTCTGTGGTGACAACCACTACAAAACCTATGGTAGGACAGTCCTCATAACTCTCTTCTATAATTTCAGAATGCGTATATGTACAGTGACAGACCCTCCTCACTTTACAATATTCATTAGTGGCACTTATTTTAGTACCCCAATTATGAATATTTTCAGATATGCATAGGGAGAATTTTTAGCCACCATAGGAAGATGGAAACACTACAGAACTCTTAATACAGGACAGATAAAGAGAATTCATTGTAAAATAAAAATATTTTGTGTATTAAAAAAGGAAAAATGCAGAAACTTCTGAAATATGTCAAGGAATTTTGAAGATATAGGACATTCAAAAACATTTCAATAATTTTTCATCTTGTTTCCTTTAAAATGAGGAAAGATATCCCACCACAATAACAAAATTAGTTGTCATCTCTTTAGTAAATGCTTAATGAAAAAGATTTAAATAAAATTAGTTTTTCATATGCAGAATACAATCAGCTGTAATCAGTCTACATGCAATTAGCTGTTGCAGTGTATTTTCTCTTTCTTGCTATCTGCAGTGTCAAAGTTCTATTAGTTTTCTTCTTGTTCACAGAGACTTTCAGGAAACCATGGCAGATAGGGCCTGAATTGTTAATGAAAAAATGAAGCTGTGCCTGGAAATTCTGTTTATCCTGTCTGTCTGTCTGTGCTTTCCTTTTCCCTTGGCTTATGCAGCCTCCTGTGTGTAACCACAGCAGTCTGCTATGACTCAAGCTCCCTTTTGGGCTAAAACAATAAAAAATGACTGCCATTGGGAATAATTTCAGAGGAGTTGTATCTCTCTCCTGTAGCTCTCTACAAATGCCTATCGTCCCATCATAACTAATCTAATTCAGGAGAGAGCGAACTTCCGCTCCCCCGACAACATGCTGGGCTACCTGGAGAATGTGTCCGTCAGCTTGCCCAACAAATCCTTGTCAGAAAATACTGCTCTAAGCCTGACAGAGGTAAGTGTCTTTCACATCTATACATGGCGTCAGATGACCCTGAAACTTCTGCAGAAGCTAGAATATTGAATGCAGCCTTGAAAATTTTTGCTGATTGTGAAAAATACATATGAAAAAAGCAGTAGTTATTTTAGGGAATAGCAGAAGGTGAGCTTCAACCAGAGAAAATAGTTTAAGGGTCCCATTAGTTCTTGGGGATATTATTTAATGCATTAATTATACCTGGAACCATGACCGCACACCAAAGATAATGTAGTTGAGTAGGAAACAGAGGAGGAGAAAATAATTTGTTAATTTTTTTCAGCTGTAATTTTCATGCAGAATATATAATTCCGGAAAAAAAATTTCAGCATTTCTCTGCATGGCCCAGCTGATCCAGAATGTAGCAGGATTTGACAGTCATCTGTCAGCTGCAGGACATAATGACACTGTAATCAGAGCAGTGACAGCAGCAAAATGGAGGCATGCAGGAGCTAATAGCAAACTAACTAACTTGGATGCAGGGAGCACTCCAGTTGTGACAGTATCAGTCTGGGCCTGGGTAACTGCCCAAGTATAAACTTGTAACTTATTATCTTTGAGATTCACACCTGCACTAGAGGGTTAAAAATAAATTACTGCTGTCTGCCTAACCTTTTGTTAGCATTTATTGCTCCTGTAGTAAGCAGAGGGTAAATTGTGCCTCTCCTCTGGCATCTCTTTGCAAAGCTGTGTGTTATACTTGCTGGGCTCTGCAATGGCCAAGATACAGACCCTGCTCTGCCAGCTCTGTGTTGAAGGTGGAAAGCTGTGGGAGATGGCTTTTTTTTTTTTAATAGTGGTGTCCTTAGCGTTTGTGGGTTAATAGCTTTATCTTGCACTGGGTTCCAATCACAGCCAAGACTCCTGTGTAGATGTATTGCAAATCTCCACTGAAACTAGTTCACAAAAAGATCAGGTCCACAGCTTAACTGATGAGTAATTTATTTTTGTTTAAGCTAATCCACAAAGGGGGGTGGGGGGAGAAGACGACATTTTCTTTAGTCTGAACTGAGGACAAGGGGTCACGTTCTGCTAACATAAAGTTAGTCTTCTGTAAAATGATGGGCATCTAATTCCCTGATTTCAGCAGGCTAGAAAGCTGTTATTACAGTAATCAGCTCTGGCCTCACTAGTGATCGTTCCTTTAAGCCTGTGGGTAATACCAGGGTGACAAGGATTATTTACTCAGAAAAACAATATAAATAAATGCTTCTGAAAAATACATGGGCAGCAACTGATGGTTTGTGTTAAAAGCTTAGCATTTGCAAACTGTAAAGCTGGATTTCATGGATCACAGTTTAATATGTAGCAAAAACTCTTCTAAAAAGCTCTAATTCATTGTTTCCCTTGTTTTGCTGAAAATTTTGTGTGGGCTCTAAATTGAAACTGGAGCATCATCCAGTCAGATATCATACCTGTTTCCCACAGCATTTCAGTTGCCATTTGGTTGCTCATTCATACTATCTGATGCTGCTTTGTGTGCCATGAAAGAGATTTGCAGACAGAAACGTGGGACATGATTATCTTTAGCAAAGCTATTTTGGGAAGCAAATACAAGAGAGTCCTGATCATACATACAGACTCTGTCATTTGTCTGATTGATGGTTAGGCTTTGTATTGTCTGCAGCTAATTCCCTGAAAGGCAGGCACTGAGTATGCGTGCTATTTTCTGTAAAGTTATCTCTGTCTTGATTGTCATATGCCTCACAGCACAAGAAAATTTAAGTGATATGCAATAAACTTTCTGATTACTGACACACAGTTACGATGCATTGCTTCTGACAAATCTGACTTGTGTTTCCTGTTATAATGCTGCTCTGCTCAGTAGCTCCAGCACTCCTGCTTTCCCTCCCTTTCCAGGGGTCTAACACATCCTTTTCGAAGTCATTCTGGAGTGATGCTGTGACCTGAAAAGAGATGCTTACTGAATGCTCTGGGCAATTTGGGCTGGGTCCTGGGTTTGGGATAACTTTTGTGCATGTCAGGTAGAATTCCACACTCAGTGTTTGAGAGAAGCTGCCCCAAATAAGCTCATATAGCAAAGCTCTGGTACTGCCCTATGTATTATAGCTTGTAAAATTATGCTCAGAAAGGTCTTGCAGCTTTCTTCCACATTTCTCAGTGGAACCTTTCTATATTCAGTTGATGCTTTTTAAGACTTTTTAAGAGACAAGTTTAAGCAGAAGATGTGGGGGTTTTCTTTAATTTTCTGCTCTCCCTTTTTTTCCTCCTATTTGTCTTCATCAGCAAGATTTCCTACAGCAGGGACTATGTCATGCTGAGCACTTCAAGTGCAGATCTTGACCTCAAAAACAACCTTTAAGTCAAAGTTAAGCAGATAATAAGTTGTACAAGTGATGGCACTCATATTTATCTCATGCTGTTGAGATATCTAGTCATCTGAGACTAAAAGACATATTAATGTCTCAGGAATTTAGATAAAATGGGAGAATAAGTTCACTTTAGTCTTAGTTCCAGTGTTGTCACCTCAGCTGTAGTATGATGATTGCACTTTGGGAGTTTCACAGTGGTGCTACTTTTAATAAATAAACTGTTACTTTAAAATGTCACCATACAGAACATGATGAAAGTGCTAGCAGGTAGAAATGAATCTGTGACTTGAATGAAAATGGGCTTGTCATCTTAAAATAAACCAAAAAAAATCCTAGCAGAGATCTGCCTTGGATCTTTACCAGGAGATGTAGCTGATTAATAAATAATCAAATAATATGGTTTTGTTTATCTTTTTAGGCATTTTTAAAAGCTATTGAAGACTTTCTGTTATTGCCCAACTGGATTGATGTACCAGAGGTAAGATAAATGGGCTTAGATTTGTAGGTTACTTTGGTTGCATAATTTCACATGCATAGAAATTAAATCGGTTACCTCTACTTCTTGTTGGGACTTTTTGGCAGTATGATTTCTTTTCTCATATGCCGCTTTCATATTTGCAGTAAAGATCCGCAGATAAAACAATTATGTCATTTTCTTCTATAATATGTTTTTGAGGGTTAAATTAAGAGAGCTTTATCTACTGCAGTTTCCACATATTTCAGGATGAATGAAACAAAATTGTAGTTATAAAATGACAGATATTGTCACTAAGTGTCTAATCACTCCTTTTTTTTGGCACTGAACTTTGATACTTTAAAGTTTATATTTGTGTTGTAGATTGATGTTTTTCAATGCATGTGAAAAATGTGGTAGTGTTTACCTGTTTAGTGAACTGAAGCTTTGAGAAAGGTTAAACCTAACATAAGGAAAAGTAACCTGTATCAATGTTCTTTCTCTTCAAGTCTACCTTTTAGAGTGAAGAGAAATACTTGCAGGAGAGACCTGGGGATTTTTTGGGATTTTTGTTTGAATCTTAAGAGAGCACAGATTTCAGAACAGAGAGCTTTTAAACTGAAAGAAGGAGAGGCTAAAGTAAATTAAGGTCTCATTGAAGCCTAAAATGCTTTAAGACAAAAGGATGTCTTAGCCTAAAATCCTTGATCATCTCTGATGTAAATAGATTTCAGGTAAAATAAATTTCTTTTTCATGGAAACATACATTCACGCCGAGATTTTATCGATCAACCTGGAGGGTTGTTTTCCAGGAGACATGTAAACACTTTGAAAGTAGCTTTATACTGGGGACCATTTTAATAAAGATGAAAGAAAGGCTAAGCTGTAACGTCTCAGCTTATGTTCCAATAAAGATCTGATACCAGTCTTTATATATTGTCAAAATAATCTGCTCAGTTCTTGGCCTCATTCTGCTGAATCCTGAGTATAATTGAGCGTCAAATGCTGGTGGGAGCAGAGAGTCATTTGGAGATGTTCTATAAAACGTAGTATTTTGTAAGGTCAGGCTCTGGGTGGCAATTTGTGCAACATTATATCCACTATATGTGGAAAAGGTTGTGGAGAAAGTCACACTTGACTTTGGATGGTTGAATGATGAGTCTCACAGGAATTAACATGGCACCTTGGCATTTTGTGCTATGAACTGCAATTGCTTTTGTTGTAGAGCCTTCTCTCTCTTCTTCCCCCAGACCGCTCACATATTTGGAAGTTTAATTCAAACTATTGACAGTGTGATGGCTCATATGACGCAGAATCTAGATGAAAACTCATTACCTTTAACTGTTGAGGGCTCATCATCCGTGGCAGGTAGGATTTAGCAGAAATGTTCTCTCTGGACTGTCCGCGTGTCCTAAATGCTTCTGTGCTTGCAGTCCCTCCTTTTCCAACATGGAGGAAGAAATCAAAACAGATAATTTTCTCTTCTGAATACAAAACAGTGTTTTAGTTGTAGAAAGATAACTGTGCAGTTAGTCGAAAGGTAATCAGCTCTGACTGTACTTGAACTTCCTTGAGGTTATTTGGGGAAGGGTTTAGAATACGAGTTCTATGAAATGAATCTAGTAATAGTGTGCTATACTGATAAGCAGTTAAAGGGCCTAGAGCTCTTACGTAGCACTTCGAAACTGCAGATATCTGGGTGTAATAAAACCTTAATTTTGCAAGGTTTTGCTAGAGATTGCAAATAATAGGAATAGTTTTGACCTTTTAGGAGAAATTTATTTTACTACTGTTTAGCATCCTAGCACTCTAATTTCATCTTTGTCTTTGGATGCTACAGGTGTCAAAGGTAATTAATCCATTCTGGCATTCTGCTCAGCTTCATTGAGACCTGTGTAAGGGGCCAAATAACCTGAGCAGTCGCCAGTACCATTAATCACCGCACATGCTCTCATGGACACTGGCATTCTGAAATGGAGCAGTGGAGGTCTGAAATAATGCCTTCAAATGTCAGAGGAAGAGCATGTTATCAATCTGTTTTGCTTGCCCTGGTAAGCTCAGTATTTGAGCATGGGTGAAGCGATCCATGGTATATTAACAGTGCGTGTACCACCTTCTCTGTCATAAAGGAGTCAAGATATAAAAGGCAATTTTGTACTTGGGGAATTTACTATATTTTCTGCAAACATCTGGGGTTTTAAATTCAAGGCTTGCAATAGCCTTTAGGGAAGTCTAGTTAAATAGTCAAGTAGGTTGTAGAGGCTATTGATTTTATCATATTTTTGTTTGGGTTATCACACAGATTACAGCTTGGTCAAAATGCATCCTCAGACTTTGAATTTGTCCCATTATCGATTTCCATCTCGAGGACAGAGTTATATTTCCATTCCCAGTGAAGCTTTTCATGAAAAAGGTAAGGAAAAATTTAAAGAGAGGAGCAGTCATGTAAACAGGGTATCCCAAAATTATTTTGCTTGAAAATAGGTTTTGGTTTGCTTTATTTTTCCGAGTAACCGATTTGATCACTGTTGATCACAATAGCTCTAAAGAAGCAGCAGTTCTTCTGTCGTATTAATGAATGATTAATGTGGTAGAATTTTAATATTACTTGAATTAATCTTGAATAATACAGCTGGGCCACAGAGACTGAAGCCATTTAAATTGACATCTTTTTACATCAGAGAAGCCACAATTTTGTAAACTATTTTTAATCATCTGAACTGGTTATTTTTAAGAAAATCCAGGATGTCAGATCAGGTATTACTTATCCCTTCATGCAAAAATGATCTTAAAATGTTGCATGACATTAAACTATAAAATGACAGGTTTACGCAGCAGCAGCTACAGAAACAGAATGAAGATGTAAACTACAGTCAAGGCAAAAAGGCAGAACTCAGAAATTCATACCTAGGCTAAAATTTTAATTATCTCAAAAGCTGGGGATATGACAAAAATCTGAAGCTTTAGTCAAGACTAAAATAACAATGTTTGAATTTAATTATCTACGTTCAAATCGAGCATTGAAGGAACCTATTTACAAAACTATCTACGTGCATCCTCAAATCTTTGAAAAACTGATCCGTGTGCCCTAAATTGCAACCCACAGAATTTACATACCCAGAGACCTTTCTGCAGTCACCTCTGTTGAAGGAAGGTTGGTCCCTATTCATAAACAGCAAAGTTAGCTGCAGATAACCTGCAGTGAGAAATACTCTAATAATTACTGAACTGTCTACCTGATTTGTGATGACAGCTTTGTTTCTTTGCACTGGCAGGGGGCTCTGGCTGGAGACTTCACCGCAAGTGCTCTGAGGCTTGAATAACTATAATTGCAAACCAACTTGTAATGCCAAAAATAGCATGTGAGAGGACTTTTTTCCTTTCCCACTTAAAGTCTCTCACCATGCACATTTTTTTTGTTTCTTCAGAACATTATCATACTTGGTATCCCGAAATGATCCAGCCCATTAGATGTTTAACTCTTTCCAGCTAAAGCTCACTTCTGAGTAATTTTAGCCTTCAAGCCACACTTCTACACTGTTGAAATGAGCTAACCTAAAAATTTATTATGCCACCTTAAACTGTTGACACTATAAATACTTGGAACCCAGCAAAAGGGATAGTGAAAGACATGAGTATGGCTGACACTTAGAAAATACGCATCTGCCTCTTCACTCAGATGCTGAAGATCCCATAAATACTTGGAATACAGGCAGAAAGCACACAACCAAAGTGGAAGCCGGTTGCTCATGTCTGAGTTTCATAAACTGCCTGTTAATGTAGCCTTTAGATTACTGTAGCTACCATTGAGATAGTGACTCTGGTATGTCATGCTAGCCTTTCTAGTGCTATGTGGGGGATTTATAATTGACAACTGATTACTTTAACAACTTTTTTTGGAAGTACAGTTGCACAGGGCAGGCATCCTTCTATTTTATTTTTGATATCTGTCTCCTGTGTCATACTGCAAGATGTTCATACTTTTTTACTTAAAAGAATAATTGGAAATCTGCTAAAGCAAAGATATAAAAATCTACAGAAGTCAAGGCTCTTAATTAACATGGAGTTTCAGGTCTAGGAGAGAAGTGTCTCTTGCTTACAAATGTTGCTCTTAGGAATAACCCCTATTCCTTTTTCACAGCTTGGATTACCATTGTTGGCCTGCTTTACCATAACATGCATTACTTCTTTCATAATATCAACCCTATGGATACCAAGTAAGTATCTGGGACCTCTCATGCTGTAACAGTGTGTTTATTACCTTAGTGATATACCTTTATAACAGTCATGTCATTATCAAGTGTAAATAAATTACGAGCCATAATCCTGATTCTGCAATATTGAGGACACGTAGTCATTAACTAGAGAGAGATTAAAGCTTACATTAGATGTTTTACTTTATGTTGTAGTAAAATAGATTCCCATAGCGACGTGTTTGTCTGTCTTTGTCTTCTTCCATTCATCATATCTGGTATTAGAATTTCATCATTTTAATCTGTCTCATAAAAGGAAATTACATCTTTTCTCCTGACACATATAAAGATAAAGCTTGCACTTAAATGAAACAAGAAAGAAAACATAACATCCCTCTTTAGATAAAATCTGAATCCTAATCCTAGAAACCCGTAAGGTAATTTTACAACAGGAGACCAGGCAATGTTTAAAAGACCTTTTGTTTTACATGCTGTATCAATGAAATCATTAGTAGATAAGATAAAGTAAATGCAGAGCTGTATACCGCTTGGCAATGCAGTTCCCCAGGGAATTTTGCGAGGCCATTCATGTAAATCATTACACTTTCCTTTTAAGCTAGGATGACTTTATGTTTTTATTTGATCTACACTGGGATACATGGATTAGTTTATACTTTTTAGTCTTTTCCAATCTGTGACTTCTCGGTGCGTTATTTATGACAGCAGAAGGAAAGATGCAGCATCTCAGCTATCATAAATGTCAAAGATTACTTCACTTTCTTTACATACAGCTGCACGGAAGGTCATGATTACGGAAACTCATTTGTGAACTTCAGGGTAAAAAAATCCTGACATATGACCAGACTGATCACACTGAGATAATCACACAGCTATTACTAAATACCGTTTTTAAATCAAGTAGCAAGTTGTACTGTTGTTTACCTTAGTCTGCCTCAAAAAAAACCAAAAAGGGCACTTAGCAGGTGGCTGTAAAGGAAACATGTCATTAATGCGCTATATTTCTTACCAACATGAAGAAATAGAGACAATAATTTATGATAGTTTGTTTTTCAAACAGGAGGATCAGTGCAATTTATTAAGATAATAAACTATAATCTCAACTTCTCAAAGAAAGAGAATTAACGAGTCTTGACTTAGGTCAAAGTTTAGCAAACACAAGATGATTAAAGATGCTAAAACACTGTATTCTAATGCTTTGTCATAGAGTTAGATATAGCAAAATAAAACAGTTATGTCATCTTTGTGTACATTCTCTGAATTTTGGGGAATAGGACAACCTGGAGACCCATTCCTGTTCTACTGAGTTGTATGTATCTTTTATCACTCATTTTTGAGAAGGAAGGATCTGGCCCTGTTGCAGTGTTACATGGAAGCACAGACACTGGAGAAGAAACATCTCCTAGATTTCTATAACTAATCCAAACTACTTGAACTCTTTGCTGTATGTAATGCACTACAGAATCACGTCTATAAAATTCTAGATGCGGATCTGTCCAAAACAACATCTAAAAAACTAGTAATACAGGGAATCACACCCCAGATATTAAAAAAGTGATTTAAAAATAAGTGTGCAATTCTCTCTTGCTTGGTTTTCTTTTTTCGTGTTGTACTTTAACTTTTTTGCTTACATTTCATTAGAGTAACCACGTTTTCCTAGAGTAGTTTGTTTTAATGACTTTCCTTTATATTCCTGCTAGCACTGGGCTACTTGAACACCTGTAATTTGAAGCCTGTCCATTTTCTTCTTAAGGCCAATTTTTTTTCTTTTGTGGTGGAAAGTTAAAACCAAAACTTTGGGAGCTTTTGTGCTGCACAGACAGATGACTTCTATTTTCAGACAATATAAATAGCAGTTTCTAAGGGGAGTCAGTTTTGATTCTTTACAAAAAAACAATTGAACAATAAAAAAAAAAAAGGTTTTGAGCCCACTTCTGCTCCTGCTCAGATACAGTTTGTGAAAATCTGTAGTAATTCCACTGAAAGTAATCAGCTGACAGACTCACTTCCAACTGACATCCAGGGCCACAGTGAGGAAAGGCTTGCATGTGCAAGTAAGAAACACAGAAATACTGTTTCTCATTTGTGCTGAAGTTTTTTCATGCTTCAAAATTCATCTAGCTCTCTAAAGTTAAAAAGGCAGATAATGGGTGTGGAAAAAAAAGTCCACCCTGTTAATCTGCATAGGAGAAATCTCAAAATGTCCAATAGTGGTCTTAATGGTGTGAGTCCTTCTCTAAACTTAAACTTTTCGTATCAACGTAGCAAATTCTGCCCTCAGATGAACAAATTCAATTCAAGTCCTGGTTACTGGGAGCAGAAGTAATCTCTGATACTGATTGGTTTTTGTGGTCAGAACTAAGGACTGGTGCTTAGGGTTGTGCTTAATGAATTCTGTTTTATTTGACCTTACTGAATGAAGTTATTTTAATGTCTGGTAACTTTTTTTTTCTGAAAGAAAAACAAGAAACCATTGCAAACAGGTGGCAGATGTAAATAAGACATATTTTTAATGTGCTTTGTAAACCGCTTCTTTCCAGTGCTGTGCTATGTTTGGAAACCCATGCTGATGGTTAATTCACCATGGCTCATATTTCTCATAGTAAATACTTATTCATTCACATACTGAAGAGGTGGATGACAGAGACCATTTTACTCCTGCACGGTTTGTTACTGATAGTGTAAAAAATTTTACCCTACAGGCAAATGGATCTTAGTTACTCCCAAATGTGCAAAAATGTCAAAGTCATAAGTTGTAGCTGAAAGCAGAAATAAAAGGGTTCTTATGTACTGAAAAATTACTCCAGCTTAGAAAGATAGTAGTACCTGGACAAATCAGATGTTTAGTAAGGTTCAACTGTTTATATTGTGACCTGAGGTACTCTCTAGCAAACCTAACTGGATGTAATCAATTTTTCAAAGTAAAGCTATAAATTACTTCTAAATATATTCCTACCTGTGTGTTTATATGCATTATATATGTGTCTTATTAATATGTATGTTTAATTAGACAGTCTGAAACCTCTGCAAGTTTTCTCCTTACTTAGACTGCTTTTCGTAGGTTAGATCCCTTACTTTGTAGGTTTCTAATTATGTAAAGCATTTTCAGCAAGGCTTGTAAACCTTTGCAAAAGAGCAGCAGAATGAAGGTATATTTCTGATATCAAGTCCCCTAATGTCTAAAGCTGTTCCCTATGCTTTGTTGCTTCTAGTCCTGTAGGATCTTTTGGGGCCAGATCTTGCCCCCCATAGAAGTTCATTATTTTGAATGGAAAAAGAAGGTTCTATGTTCCTGTTGTTGTGGATGAACTAAAAAAAGTTATTGTTCTACTTACTTAATATTTGTTTCTTTCCAAGGATTGCTGAAGCTGCTGCCTACAAAGGTTGTATGATCTCAGCAACCAGTGATCTTATCTCCGTAAAAGTGGAACCTCTACCTAAGTTGTCCCACAATCTGTCAGGATCTCCTCTGATTACCATCCAGCTCACCCACAAACTGGTAAGTGAAATGGAAACTACGAGTTTAGACTGTCATCAGGGCTGTTGAAAATGTTGGTGTCTGTGATGACTTCTTTGTATTTCTCGTGTAATTTTTGTAGCATTTTTAGCAGCAATTCAGATGGTGTTTGTGACTACAATATTATGTTTTTCCAGCCATAACGCTTCAATGACTTCTGTTTCCATCACTGCAAAAGGCTGATTAGTGCACATGTTGAAAAAGGTGAAGTGACAAGTATAGCTTTAGGCTTTTCTGTATATTGTTCTATGGACGTGTTTGTGCTATCTACAATAGGATGGTATGAATCACTGCTCTCTCATTAGAGCTGCCAAAAACAATAATGCACTTATGGTTTTTGCTTTTGGTCCTAATCCACATTGAGATAACTGAGGTGTTTTGAATGTTCTCATGAACAAACCCAGAGAAAGAACTCCTCCAAGGGCAAATCCAAGTATGATGGGCAGAGCATCTCCTGGGATAGGAGTGGAGCAGGTTCAAATCCCTGTTGTGGTGTGAACTGCCTTTTCTAGAGAGCATTCTGAATCTGAGAAAGAGACAAGAAATATGAGAAACTGAGAAAACTTGGAGACAAGTTTTAATCAAACTGATCAATTTTGGTAAGACATTTCAATTTCACCAAATTACCATATTCCAGCAAGGAACTGGAAAAATAGCTGGGTTTGTTTGCTCTTGGAGAAAAAGGCATCTCTCTATCTTGTCAGTGGAATGGAGAATAGTTGAGTTCAAACTCTGAGGTGCTGACATGGGACACCTATGACCCACTTAGAGCATTGCATGGAAACGGAAAAGAAAGATTTACATTCTTAAATGTTTCCTAGAAAACATCTTTTAGATGTTCTTCTGAATATTTTATCATATTTTTCTTTCAATGGCTGTTTTCAAGCCAGATTTTCTTCATACTCTTGGGCTTCTGATAAAGATGCAGTAGGCTACGGAAGACAAATATATGAAAAAACCCTGAGGCATAGAAATGACAAGTGTTGTTTTGCTGACAGTTTTTTCAAACTAAGGACTCTCCTGAATGTCCCTAGTGGCCTCTTAGAGGCAGGCACTTGCAAAGCGAAGACTGTATTTTGTGTAGATCGTTTATAAAATGTACCTTATTCAGGTACCTCCTCATGTCTTAATATGATGATTTCCTAGCAGGCTGTTAAACAAACCCGTGTGGTTTTTTTTCTTTATGCCTGTTGGCTTTCACTGTGAAGATCACTGGGATCTTGGTTTACAGACAGAAATTTTACATTTGTAATCCATCTCTTTCTCTGCTGTTTTAGTCAGCAGAATCCATGAGAATGTGGTATGAACATCTGTCTAACGTATCCTCTGTCTAACAGATTCAGGTTAATGGGGAGTTTCAGTCTCTACCTAAAGTATTGTGTGCTTTATATTGTGCATTAGAGAAGTGACTGTTTTCTTATACAGAGCCTTATTGCTAATTGGCAATGCATTCATAGGCAGCCATCTATTATCTACCACAATATTGCTACAGTTAATATTTAAGTTTGAGTCTGGCTTTTTTTCGGTTGATCTGATTTAGTTACAGCTACTCCAATGGAGTCTACTGGATTTCACAAGTGTAAAAATGAGAGGAGTGAAAGAAGAATATGGTTTCTTGTACTGATTGTAGTGATGCTTGGCACGGCTTAATATGTTTCTTCTAGTGTGTATAGGAAAAATGCCAATCCTTGAGCAACAGAAAACAAAAGGGAGTAAAATAAAACATATCTATTTTAGGAAATAGTTACAAAGAGAACATCTGTGAACTGTATATCACCTCTTGAACCAAAACTTCACAAAGCATTTATCATTCCACAGCCTGACTCTCTGTTAGTTAAATCTTCTTAGGCAAGGGTTCTCTGGGTTTCTCTGAAATTGTCTGCATTTTTTATGTAGCTTTTAGGAGCTTGTGAGATGATTAAATTTCTCTTTCTTTTTGAAACATAAGGCAATACAAACTGATGCTAATATTTAATCAATTAGGTAGGAATGCAGAGCATACTTATAAATGACATGTTAATGCTTCCTTTTCTAGAGAGCACCAAGGGGTAGAGGGCACAGTGCACAGAAGAGATGGTACCCAGTCTGGGGGACAGGCTGGAGGCTAAACTGGTGCTGTGGAGCTGAGAAGTTACCTCATAGTTAATACATACACTGTTAATTTCATGAGTACAAGGACTAGGGAGACTAGACTATAGGTTCACCTCCACCAGAGAGGACATCAGTAACTACAACCATTAGGTCTTGATGTTCAGGCTTGCACTCAGGCTAGATTCTCAGAGGACCAGTATTACTCAGCAACATTCTTTCCACAAAAAGAGCAGGCAGAAAACTTTCTGGTCAAGCTTCCATTAGTGAAAAATGGTTTTCTAACTTAAAATAGAAATTTTCTTGAATCAGGATGAATAACATCCTTTTTTTCCCACTGGATAAAAATATTACTTGTTTAATTCTTTTTAAGAAGTAAAGATTCCCTGTGGATAGGATCGACATGTACGTTGTAGTGTTATTCTTGTCTTAAACTGTTGTTAGAATAGTGACAATTATTTTGTTGCACAATCCCTGAAACAGGTTTTTCTGTTATTCTTTTATTGTATGAAAACATTAACAGCTTTAGAATGGTTATTTTGCAAGGAGACTTCATCAAGGATTTAAAATTAACTTCTTTGCATAAGAACATGAAGTGATTAAGTCTTTCATTCTTTCTGCTGTTCTTAGGAATGCTTATCCACTCTTTGTATCCACAATGTTCACTTCTATAACACAATGACATAGCTAGAGGAGAAAAGCAATTCTCCTTTTCCTTCTCTGTAGATATAAGGTAGTTTTTCCTGTGATATTTAGGGATCATCGAGGGCTGTTGTGCTTGAAACTTTTTACATATTGGAGAATTACATTCATGGGTCTTTTTAATGACTATCCCTTCTTTCACATTGCTTAGAATACAAGATGAAGATGAGAGAGAACCAGTAGTACTTTGTGATACTGGAGACTCAGATCTATTGTTGTCACTCTAAGATGTTTTATTGATAATGGGACTTTAAATCTCATTAAATATTTTGCACTGTTGATTCAGTGTTTGTCATAAGTGTTTGTCTTGAGAGTCAACATACACCTGCACAAAGAATGAAAAGAGCTTGTTTATGTATACATATTGTTTTCTTTCTATGGCTCATCTGAAAAACTATTAGACAAAGGCTGTGATGCAAGAAAATTATGTTCATTGATAGCTAGTATTGCCTGTAATTGCAGCATATTCAGTATGAACACACTTTTTCCTCTAAACTTACCCATTTTCTTGATATACGTGCTGATTGGGTCAGGTTGGAGTATGTGGTAGTAGTCTGTTGTTCTAGAGACTGAAACAATTCTAGCCCATCAAGGAGGACTGGAGTGAGAATAAGGGAAATAGTAAAAGGATCAACAGCAATAACGATTGCTCATCTCTAGCCAATATGTATTGTGGCTGAAAATGTGACTGCACGGTACTTATGGGAACCCCTGATGAACTTAAACGAAAAGAATAGGCTATGTTCCTACTGGATAGCTACTCACATCAAACTCACTGTTACCGCTTAGCGCATATGCATTGGTAATTTTAATAGCAAGTCCAAAGACCAAAACAGTAAAGATACAGTAAGGAGCATCCTTAGTGGAACTACCCTGAGGCATATCACTTTGGCTTTAGTATTGAATGAACATAAAAAAATTTGAATATGGGCTTGTATTAAGGTGCTAAACTTTGCAAAATGTCTAGGATTTCTTTGGAAAAGCTTTAGATTACATTCCCAACATCTTGGTCAAAGAAGGTTTACAAAAATTCACATGTTGGACATATGTCTTCAGACAGACATTGTTCTTCATAACTGTTAAGATGTCAAATTCTATTAAATATGCATTTTTTGAATTATTTCTTTACAATAGGTTACAGTATTTATTCTAATATAAACATTTCTCTTTGTCAGCAAAATTTTTTCTGAACTAAGCCCTTTAAAAGACAAAATTTGATACACTAATTTACACAAGCTAGTTGTTATTCAGGAACGTTTCAGTGAAAGGCAGACATCTTATGACTGATTTTAAAACTGATGATGCTCTGCTCTTCAGCAACTTGGATGAACTACTGTGTCCAGCAAAAAAATAACAGAAATCAACTAACACCTTTGGGGTGTGTGGGATGATGCGAAGACTGATGGTAGTTTGCAGCTGTGAAGAAGGCATAATCTCGACCTGTCCAGATGTTTTGTAATGAAGCAACAGTATATTTTGTAAAATGATTATCTTCAAAAAATTTCTGTTTCTGGCAAGATGTTTTTCATAGCAGGAGCAATTAGAAAAGAACTAACATTTCATTATACGATCCAAGAAATTACAGCACAGGGTAGAAATTCAGAAGAGATGAACGTCAAGCCTGAAATGTATACATAACATGCTCTGGCAAGTGTCAGAAGAGGCAACAGAGGGAGAAATGGTGTAAAACTGCACCGATGTTTTGTAAAATCCGTATGGCTGTGTAGCATAGACCTTGATCTTTGACCACTCTCAAGTCACTTTTCAACGCTCTCTCGGAAACAAAGTAGCTGTAAATTCTTGTCTTTCCTGACAAGGCAGCTGACCATCTTTCAGCACATAGAAATACCAGCTTGGTGTAAATCCAGGCACATTTGGTGCAGAGAGGGTAAAGGTGTGACGAAGGTGATGTGAGACAAAAGGGGAGCTTTCACGCCCTGGATGATGTACCAGAGCACACTGTGCTCACTGCTCTGTTGATCCCTTGCTGTTGACTGGCACTGTAGAGAAAGTTGCCTTACAGCTAGAAGAAGACTTTTCATACGCTAGTTTCAATCACTTTGAGGCTTCTGTAGTTTTTTCCAAGGCTTTATTTTCCCCTCTCCTTTTTGCAGGAGAACATGTGCAGCTGCAGTTTTGGAGAATTATAAACTCCTGATTGTTACACCCTCTGTGAGAGGGCCTCACATGAA